AATCAAGTTTATTGAACACTAAAGTTGAGTTCTGCACGAAGCATTTTTATCTGAACTAAAAAACTGTTTTTCGTTCAGATCAGCCATGAAAATGAGCTGGATTGTGCGCAGAAATTGTTGAACAGGAATCTTCAGGGTGGATGAAAGTGGAGTTAATAATATTGATACTGTGACAAAGTATGAAGAGTGGATAAATTGGAAGTAACAAGACCTTTCTTTTGAGCAGTTCGAGTTGTTCCTCCAGCGTTCCACTGGTCTCCATCATAGCCGTACGAGTTTCAGTCAGCCACTGATGGAATGCATTCGCCTGACGTGCAAAGTCACGACGCAACTTATCGTTATCTTCCTGACGGCGATGTTCTTTTTGCAGTTCCAGCTCTCGTTCCTGCAAAAGTTTTACGAGTGTCGTCATACACAGTAAAATAAAATTTTTTTTTGCGAAATTCGTCCAAATGTTCTGTCCGAAGTAATCCAATTATGATACAATTCAAACAACTCATAGCTCAGGAAATATCATTAACTTTCAACTCATCCACAGACCTATTCTCAGCAAAACAAAAACGAATCTTTAGATGAGCGAATCGAAAAGAAACCTTAATGATCTTTTGCAGATTTCGCCATGTCTCTTCAAGCGTGTCCATAGTGAACCACGTGTACGGGTTTGGACCAACATTGAATGACTTAATTTGTTTATCAAGTTGTTGCAATTGCTTGAAATCTTCTTCAGCCGTCGATAGCGATTTGTGGAATTCAGCGTGTGCTTCTCGTAATGCACTGATCTCTTCAAGCGAGTTACAACGAACCGGATCGGTCAGATCCTCTTCGGCATTCTCGAACCATGAATTGAACGCAGACGCCTGTGACAAATTTGCTGCTCAATTCTGTGTATCCATTATCCGCGCAATTATATATGCGAACATTTCACAAACGATAAAACGTTCACATCAGACAAATTGATGAAATTCACCAAATTCCTTTACAAATGAAAATTTTTGGTACAATATATCATTTCTCAATCGCCTCACCACTAACATGTGTGAATGAAGTAACAAAGAAAATCAACCGAAACGAACCAACCTTCTTGGCA